CCCTAGGTGTCCCCGATTCAGCAGCTGGTCAGTTTTAGCAGTGACTGAATCGGGGAACCTGGGGGCAGAGCAGCTCCAATGGTCCGGCTGCCCGGAGCACTTCCGGGTTCCTGATGGTGCTGGACCATCAGGAGTACCGGACCATCAGATGCTGGACTATTGGAGTTTTACTGTATGTGCTTTTCAGTCTGACTTTCTTCAGGGCTAGTTCTATAACTGCCTATTGTGAATGCAAATTTAAAAAATGTGTGAATCCAAAATTAGAATTCTTTCACATGCTACACAGAAAGAATGATAAACTTCCGGGTTCCTGATGGTGCTGGACCATCAGGAGTACCGGACCATCAGATGCTGGACTATTGGAGTTTTACTGTATGTGCTTTTCAGTCTGACTTTCTTCAGGGCTAGTTCTATAACTGCCTATTGTGAATGCAAATTTAAAAAATGTGTGAATCCAAAATTAGAATTCTTTCACATGCTACACAGAAAGAATGATAAAATGCATGTTGAAACTCTCTACATCGTGACTCCATGGTCTAGCAACATCCATGGTCTGGCACAGATGTTGCAAGACCAGAGAATCCCGGTGGAGGGCTAGCAGCAGGGATTTCTGCGGACTAAGCTACTGGTGGGGTCGCTTGGTGCACGGCAGCGGGGCTGCCCAGTGGGGTTGGGAGACCTGGTGGATAGCTGTCTGACAGCATTGGGAGCCATGGCAGCGGTGGCTCAGTGGGGCCAGGAGCTGCAGCAGGTGGCTGCTCAGTGTGCCAGGAGTGCTGGTGTGCAGCTGCCCAGAGAGGCCAGGAGCCATGGTAGTGGCAGCTGCCCAGTGGGGTCAACAAGGCAGCAGGTGGGAAGCAGGCCACAAGGAAGGATGCAGAGTGACAGAGTTGGGTGCAGAGTGTCAAAGAAGCCAGAAATTACTTCTCCTGGTCCAGCAAAATCCCTCATCCAGAACTGATCACGTCCTGTGGGTGCTGGACCGGGAAGGTCCAACCTTAATAATGCTGCATCTCAAAAGTCCTTCTGGTTTTTTTGCCCAAATCTCCAAAGAATTGGGTCTAAGAGATTTTTCTAGTAACCGATACAGTTTCTTCTCATTTCTGTAGAAATGGGTAGCTTGGATACCTAGGGAATAATACTCATCGACCCAAGAAGTAGATTTCAAAGCTACAGTTTGGTTCAGCTTAACATAGTAGGCGTGCTTCCCCTCCAAGCATGATTGCTTTGATGTACTTTTAAACCGTAATACAATATGACTTAACAATAAAGAGAGCTTTATTGATCTGTTTGAAACAGTTATGCTTCCAAGTAAAAATAGTTTGACCAGAATCATTACAGCTTTTCTTAGACGTGATCATACTGGTGCTTACTGAAGTAGTAAATTACATTTGGAAATGAGGACTGAGACGATCAGATGAATATTCCATCCATAATAAATATGTGTGCAAAAGGCAAAGATTTGCAAAATTCTACTGCCAAATTGGGGTGTACAAGTTAACAATTAGCAGGACATGCAGTCACAAGAAAAATCTATAGAACAACATTCCAAGAACATCTCTCTGGCTGCGTCTAGACTGGCAAGATTTTGCACAAAAGCGATCGCTTTTGCGCAAAATCTTGCCGCCTGTCTACACTGGCCACGAATATTTGCGCAAGAACACTGACTTTGTACTGTACAAAATCAGTGATTCTTGCGCAAATACTCTGACGCTCCTGCTCATGGATAAGCCCTCTTGCGCAAGTATTCTTGCGCAAGAGGGCCAGTGTAGACAGCCAAGTTAATTTCTTGTGCAAGAAAGCCTGATGGCTAAAATGGCCATCAGAAATTTCTTGCGCAAGAGAGCGTCTACACTGGTATGGATGCTTTTGCACAAAAGATGTCTTTTGCGCAAAAGCATCCGTCCCAGTGTAGACGCTCTCTTGCGCAAATACTTTTAACGGAAAAACTTTTCCGTTAAAAGTATTTGCACAAAATCTTGCCAGTCTAGATGCAGCCTCTGAGTATTGCTCTGAAGCTTGTTATATCTATCAAGTCAGTCTGAAATGTTGGAAGCAACTACAAGCACTGATGAGAGCTTTTTTTGATCATAACGACACTGTGAGATTTCATGTTCTCAGCCATTTTGACTTAACAAATTACACCTATGAGGTAGGTCATATACCTATGACAGGCCAAGAGTCCAAGACCATTGTGATATCAGAGGTAACCCTCCCAATCACCACCCTTCCTCTACAGTTAATATGCATGCAATAGTTTCATTGGTTGTATGAGGGAGACTGCACAGATGATGCATTACATGGTCCAAAAGCCACATATGTGTGTCCAACTGACACAGCACAGTCAAACATAAATATCCCTGCATAACACCATCAGACACAGATCAGCACAGTCTTCCACACAACACTACCAGCATACACAATAATCCCAAACTCACATAGCCTCTCACTGCAGCACATACCCCTCCTTTGCCACCTGCACAAATTTATACAACTTTCTCTGCACAGCAACACAATCAGCACACACAACTACTCCAAACATCACTTTGAAGACTGTTTTGGGTCAGTGTGAAGCAAAGGAAAGAACTACATATTGAAAATATCACCAGGTTCAATCACTGGGATTTCCAGCATGTTACTATCCAATTTTTAAGTTCTCAGCCATTTTGAGTTTGACACACACGACTTTACTAATTATACCTGAGCCACAGCATGGGCTTTTAATTATTAGTACATTTGTAATTACTGCCAATGTGTGTAAATAGAAACAACCAATTAAAAAGTAAAAATCTTATATATATGGGACTGTTGTATCTTGCTGAAAAATGCATAGCTCTTTCTTGCTTCAAATATGGCAGCATCTGGGTCTGTACAAATGAAAATGTCAATGAGATTTATTTACTTTTAGTCCCTTGGAATCTGCAACTTCATGTGTTCTTAAAAATCCACTCAAACTGCTTCATGCCATGCTGGTACTCTGATTTTTGCAGGCAGCCAGTTATTGTTCCCAAGAGCAGCGATAAGGTTTGCCTACACATCAAGGCTATAGTCGAATTAAGCTACGCAACTTCAGCTATGTCGATTGTGTAGCTTAAGTTGAAATAGCTTAATTTGGCTTTTTGGCACTCTCTACACAGCAGGAAGTCAAAGGAAAAACACTCTTTTCAACTTTCCTTACTCCTCATAAAATGAGGGTTACAGAAGTTGGAGTAAGAAGTCCTCCAGCTTGACATCATTTTGAAATAAATGTTTGTAAGTGTAGACACGCACTATGTTATTTTGGAATAATGTCAGTTATTCCGAAATAATGTTGCTGTGTAGATGTACCCATTGGCTGTGTCTAGACTGGCAAGTTTTTCCGCAAAAGCAGCTGCAAAAGCAGCTGCTTTTGCGGAAAAACTTGCCAGCTGTCTACACTGGCCGCTTGAATTTCCTCAAGAACACGACGATCTCATGTAAGAAATCAGTGCTTCTTGTGGAAATACTATGCTGCTCCCGTTCGGGCAAAAGTCCTTTTGCGCAAAGCTTTTGCGCAAAAGGGCCAGTGTAGACAGCTCAGATTTGTTTTGCGCAAAAAAGCCCAGATGGCGAAAATGGCGATCGGGGCTTTTTTGAGCAAAAGCACGTCTAGATTGGCATGGACGCTTTTCTGCAAAAAGTGCTTTTGTGGAAAAGCGTCCGTGCCAATCTAGACGCTCTTTTCCGCAAATGCTTTTAACGGAAAACTTTTCCGTTAAAAGCATTTGCGGAAAATCATGCCCGTCTAGACGTAGCCATTGTGTGCAATGTACTTCATATAGTAAGCTTAGTTATTTATTTAGGATATAGGGTGTTGTAGTTTGGCTTTTCACTGACTTTTCCTGTGCTAAGATAGGCATCCCAATATTTTTTGGTTTTCTGGGTCTCATGTTTGGGACCATTTTTTTACTGTTTGTCAGTATGGCTGATCCCAGTATGCTTAGCTTTGTGCTACTGCTGCTAATAAAAGAGCCCTGAAAACCTTTGTGACTAACAGAGCAATTATTAGTCCATCAGGCCCAGAATGCACAATTCAAAAATTCATGTAAGAAATCAGAGAAGTGAGGCTCATACGTTCTGTTGTGACTCCAAGAACTAGAGTCATGTTAGAGACAGGAAGAGGAAATAAATCACTTGAGTAGAACTAGCCAGAGGTAGCAGACATCAGGGCCTAATTTTAAGAGGCACTGAACATCAGATGTAGTTAATGGGGGCTGCATAAGAAACTCAGGCTCTGAGCGTCTCTCTATATCTGGAGAATAGGGGAGAGCGAGCTCCGCAGTGGCCCTTGCTAGACCATAGGTAAAGCACCTAAACGGTGGCTTCATCTACACAGACATACTCACACAAGCTCTCAATAGCTAATGAACAGGAGTGTAGTCATGACAGCACAGGTTCACGCTGATATCAAGGTTGTGCTATCATGGCAACACTCTTGTTTTTAGCGAGCCTCCTCTAATAATTAGAATGAGGGCTGGTGACAGACTTCACCAAGCCTTGGACAAAGTGCAAGGGGCATGGTTCCAGGGTCCTGGAAGGACGGGTCCTCCAGCAGAAGGAGCAGGGCTAGAGGCAGCCAGCCCTCAGTGCTGCCTGGACCATGCCACACAGGGCTCCAGCAGCAATTTAAAGAGCTCAGGGCTCCAGCCTCTACTGCCACCATGGTAGCAGCGGTGGCAGCCCAGATCCCTGGGCCCTTTTAAATTGCTGGGCCCTGGGACAACTGCCCCCTTTCTTGCCAACAGCTCTGATTAGGCTAGTTATTTGAATGTCTACATTTAGGTATCCAGATTTGGGAAATTGGATTAAGGGGCAAATTCTGCTCCAGTCTCTGTGAAGGGTCTCTTGGTAGGTTACTTCCACTGCAGCGGGCAGGCAGGATATGAGAGGCTGAACAGGGTCCTTCTGTAGCAGAGTTTGATATACATAAATCGTTTTCTGCTTTTATTCATCATACTGAATATTGACCTCTTCTATTGCAGGCCAAGCTTTCATCTATCCATATGACAAGACTTCATGCATCTACGAAAACCCCATCCTCAGGCCACTTGAGGGGCTGCAAGGAGTTTCAAGAGAGCCAAGATATTAAATGCCATTGTCACATGAAGGCATGCAAAATATCTTCACCAGAAGGCTCAGGATCAAATAGCAGATCAAGCTCCATCCAGGAATTTTCAGAATCCTTTGAGAAGCAACTACACTTCAAAAACAAGCGCTCATTTTCTTTGGTAGGTAACCACCATTATAAGGTGCTTAGTTCAGATAAGAAACAATGAGCCAAATTCATCTGATTGACTTCAGTGCGGGTATACCAAGGATGCATGTATCTTAAAGGAGGCAGTTTGTATGGTACTACAAACAGGCTTATTAAGATAATATACTTTTAGCCTGAACACGCGAAATGTGAAATTATGCATACCAGCTGTGGGCGGGATTCCAAAATAAGATAATTAATCTGGACTGACCAGAGCAGTAAGACATTTTGAATGGACTCTCCAGCTCAGCCAATCAAGTGTTACAATATTTAAAATGTTGCTATTTTTTATGGCTGATCAAGTAAGTACCTGCTCACCTTAGCTGTGAAACCCTGCCCTCTTCTCATTGCTACTAACCTGTTTAACCAGAGTAAGATGCTAGTTAGAGGGCCCCTGAAGAGCATAGGCATTTTATTCTATTTACTACCTTTTTTTGTTTCCCAGAATTTAACACCCATTCTTGTATTTTAGCTATTCCTGTTAGGGTTTTTTTTTTTTTAATCTTCACGGCCTTTCATAAGAGGAACTCTGTCAACTTGAATCATACTGCCTGGAAAAGATTTTATTTATTCTTACAAATGAAAACTAAGATTATTAGGACTGAATACATAGAGGGAAAAACATTTCTATTTTACCAATTTGTTTGCTTTGCATTTGACAATACTTTGTGTATAGTAATTGTCAGCTGTCTGTGAGGGTCTTTTATACTGTAATATGGAAATGACAATCTCCTTTTACAAGAAGGAGATGTGATTGTAAAAGCACCAAAAATTGGTAGATGGACTCTGGAGCAGACACTGAAGCTGAAATGACTTTTAACTCGTTGTCATTTTTTGTTTTGCTAGATTTTGGGTTGATCCTGATTCAGAAAGGCATTTAAACAGGTGTCTTAAGCATGGGACTTCAATAGGACTTCTCCCTTTTGTTACATTCAAATGGGCCCACTCACATACTTCAGGGTTAGACATCTGCATATGTAAGTTGCTGAATTCAGCCCCAAAGAGATGAGATTGGCTACCCTATGTCTTTTAAAGACAAAAGTTGTTTAAAAACCACAATTAAATTTCCAAGTTGTTAACTCTTAGGGTCAGATCGTAACCTGGCATTAATTTGCAAATCTCCATTTAAGTAATATTGGCCACACTGGTTTACATCAGCTGACCTGTAGTTTTAAAAAAGTTTTAAAATATCCTTTAACTTGATGATTTAGTATAAAGTAGATATAGAAAAGAAAGGGCTGGCAATGGAGAACAGTATGCACCAGATTCTGACTGACTTTGAATGGTGGGACAAAGAGAAGAAATATCATAAATGTCCTTTCTTTTGCTCATGCTCCCGGGCAGGAACCAGCCACAGAATCACAGTCTTTTGTCTCCTTGAACACAAGGAGTGCTCCAGGCTCATGAAGATGACAATTATCATGAAGAGGGTAATTCTAGTGTATAAGGCCATTGTTATAACATTATGTACATCTCTGTAATCTCTTTTCTCCCTTTAGGGACTGCTGAGATGAGATTGTATTTAATTTAGGATTTGCACTGTCCCTTTTGCTTTTTTCCACATAACCATTCTGCTATATTTATTGTTTATAAGAGTGGCCTTGGCTAGATAGTCTGCAAATGCCCAATACACTTTGGATAAATGTTCTGCATATAATGCACAAAGCTCTTACTTCTGACTGTACTTTACAAGGAAACCGGAATGTGTGTGGATAACAATAAGATCTCCATGGGGTATAACTGGAGTATATTTTGGTTTGCTTTTCAGGTAGCGTGATACTTTAAGGTGCTGAGTTCTTTCAAAGCCCCTTGAAGTCAGTGCAAGTTGAAGGTGTTCAGCATCTTGAAATACTGGACAGTAGGAGACAAAAATATGAGAGAGAATGTGGGTGTGCACTTGAACTTGAGAATTATTATGTCTTTGAACACAATTAAAGTATTGAATCCATCCCTTATACTGCAACACAGGAAAGATACATGGGGAAGAGGTAATCCTATTAATCCTCATTCTCAGTGTATCGCTTCCCCCCTTGAAAGTTGCATGGATGACAGCTAATAACCTTCAACACCAGTGTTTGGGGAGTCTTCAAAACCAACAAAGGACATCATCAAGGCATGTGAAGGCTTCATTACAACCTGGATCAAGTGAGAGAGTAGCAAGACAGAGGCTGGGTTGAAATCCCAGGGCTCTTCCTCCCTCGGGAACTTTCAGATGGGTGGTCTCATCCTATAGGTATGCAGCAGACCAAAGTTATAGGGGAATACATATTGCACCCTGCTGAAGTCTAGGGTGACTACTCTGGGGCCATGAGTTTGAGCCAGTCATGTTAATGCTGATTTTGCAGAGGTAGGTCACCAGTATTTTTTATAACATTTTTTGATGAAATAAATTATAAATTTTGTGTGTCTGTGAAGATTTGTTTCTAATTTTCTCCATTCTATTTGCCTTTCAGCAACCTGATGGCATGAAAGAGAGAAGAGAGAGAGCAAGATTGTGTGTGTCCAGGAGCAGGTCTCACAAGAAAGAGGGAGAGAAGAGGGAGCCAAAGAAAGAGCAGGAGGATGAAGAAGGTCCAGTGGCTGCTGTTGGGAAACAAAGCTAATAGCTTCCATCATAAGCAGGCATTAAAAAGAGATATTCCTTCTGCTTAAAAGGTTACAGAGAATTGGAATAATTCACTTATGCATTCTAATTGAAAGAGTAAAGTGAGTTTTGTCATTTTGTTTTGACTACAGGAAGGGCACTTAAAATAAAGTAAACCCTAATTTTTTAAATAAAATTAATACAATGATACCTCTGAAGATGTGTTTCTATTGTCCTCTGCTTACTTTCTCCATTAGAAATGTGACACTTGCTTTAGAGAAAGTGGACACCTAGTTATATCCAGGTTTAAGTGAGCCCTGCATCATTTCAATCTGGATTTCACCCAAATTTAACTTTAGCATAGTAGTAGATATGCTTATGTAAGAGGAGAATACAGATAGCTTGCAGAGCCTTACAAAAACACACATTACCCACTTAATTTCAATTTTTGTTATAAATTGGAAACTCAGTCCAAAATGTTTGGGGGAAGGGGAGGAAGTCACATAAACTGCCATGCACTGCATAGCTTTGACAGTTGGTTTGGTTTGTCTTGAAAATGAAAAGTTTCTTTTTTAACCACCGCCACCACCACCACCATTTATTGAATAAAACTAAAGGAATACACAGCTTTCACTGAATACGTCACTGGCTCTGTCTAAATCCTGCCACACTCTTCCTTGCTATACCTTATCCAGCTATGCTTCCTCACCCATTATTATCCCTCAGTGTTACACTCCACCTCATCTCTCCCCCCAGTGGCAATTCTTCCCCCTCCCACGAGCTAATTCACCCTCCCACTTCTACCGCCCATATCTCACTCACCATCTACCTCAATCTCCCTTGTACTGGTCTCTCCCTACCCCATTTACTATCTCACCCACTCCACAGTTCCTGTGAAACCTCATTGCTTTATTTCAGGTCTTGCCTCTTGTGTGCCTCCTTGTAACCTAAAGATTTCCCCAATAAAAGACGGCTTTGCCAACCTGTCGCTTGCCAAGCTGTGTTGTTCAGGGGGTTGACAGAACACTGCTCCCT